CAAATAGTATAAATATTATAACTTAGTCTCCAAATATACATTCATATGCCAATATATGCTGATATATATGGGCAAGGCTTTTTCATTAGTATTTTAAAAATTGCATTTCCATATTCTCTTTCTTATATAATCAGCACCCGTAATTCATCAGCTGCAATTTCTGTTTCAGTTTATTAAAATGGAGTGAAAATCTAAAAATATTTTTGAAGGAGTCTGAGTGTAGAATCCTACTATGGTTTTAGTATATCCCTCTAGGTAATCATACTTGCATATATCTAATTTGGAGGCAATTTTTAAATTGAGTTCTACTATATTCAACTTAGCCATAGATATTACAGTTCTCTGAGATTTCATCAACCTCAGAGATTTCATTAATCTCATATGTTACCATATGACCATAATACATACTAATGTAAGCAAAGGACTTTGAAAAGCTTACAACTTAATTAGTGAAATCAGAAATATGTGGAGCATAATAGAACATTAGCCACTATCTGAAAATATTTGTTAACCTGAAGAGTCACTTAAAAGGAAGTTAGTTAGGAAAATTTTATGAAACTAGTACGTTGAAACATGAGCACACCCTGTGTAATACTATCAGTTCCATTTCTGAGTATATACTCTAGGGAATGTTTGTGCATATGCATGACAGGTACAAGAATGTTGCTGCATTGTTTGTGGTAGGAAAATGACTAAAATATGTTTTTTTCAAATAATGGAATACTATATAGCAGTTAAAATAATTGAATTTTGATGTATCAACTGAATAATTCCCCAAAATATCAAGGTGAATGGGTACAAAAGCACATCACAGAGGGTTTTCTTGCAGAATGGTTCCATTTATATAAATAAAAATAATGCATTTTTTATGTTCATTTTAATAAAAACTTCCGGCTTACAGAAATATATAGATAATAGTATAACAGACACTCATATACTCCCTGTTGGCTTTATCAAAACTAACTTGCCATATTTTTTTTCAGATTTTTTTTTAAAACATTACAGATATAGTTGGAGTTTCGTATGTACCCCTTCACATTCCCATTCCCATTCTACCCCCTCTTCCTCCATCTCTCAAGGTATGCTGAATTTGGAGTTTATCACTCCTGTGTTTACTTATGTTGTTATGATGTGTATATACGGTATTATTTTTCATATTTTCAAAGTTGCTATAAATTTAATGTCTGTCATACGTATTATTCTGCATATTTTTTATCCAGTGTTATTTTTGAGATCTGTTCGTATTGATACCTGTTCATATTGATCTAATTCATATTGAAATAGAGTTCTTATTTAATTTTAACTCCTACATAATCCTCTCTTATGAGTATGCTGTAATAGAGCCATTCTGCCTCTAATGTGCATTTGTTTCTAGCTTTTTGCTATTACAAATAATGCTCCAGTTACATTCTTGTGTTTCCCTATGCACATGTGCCTTGATGTGCTCTAGAATGTATGCCTAGAAATTGGAACTTATTTATAATGGCCTACTTAATTGAGTTTTTTGGTTTTTTAAATTTAAAGCATAAACACATTTATTATTCTGGAGTTTTAAAAATTCCTGTATTTTCTGTTTTTAAAAATGAGATGAATAATGGATGATCAAATGCAAATATTATTTTAAAAAATTAAAAATAAAAAAACAAAAATGAGATGAAGAGAAATATCCTAATTGTTGAATGATGAATAGGAGAAGGTAAAAGAAGATATGTTGATTTTATCCCTGGTTGTAATCTTACTTTTTATCAGAATATATATGCTATGTTGTCTTTTAATAATTCTATAGCTACATCCACTTTTGTAAAAGATTGCAGATATAGTTATAATTTTGCTGAAGCAACCAAGTCTTAATGGTTATTTTGAGGGTAAAATGAGATTATGATTGAAGTCATGCATTGTATATTATAAAGTACTAGGGAAAGGTGGGATATTATTACTGAAGTATTTGATTTTAATTTTTAATTTTTTTATTAGATAATATAGTTGGATCAAACAAAAACAACACAATTTGCCCTGGTAAGTATAAATTCGTACTTTACGAATACATGCAAATTATAAACTTTTTTTCTACTTTAAGTGTAATGCACTTATATAAGGCTAAGAAAAGCATATTTTGGCATAAAAACAAAATCCAAAAATTTATTTTTGTCTGTATTGTAAAGAAAAAATTCCACTATCTCCAGTATTAAAAATAGAAAACTAGTTGGAATTCTGTTGTTTTTTCCCTGAAAATGTATAGCTTGTTTTCTGACGTTGTTATGAGAAGGCATTGTCTGAAAGTCGAGGATTTAGTTCTTATTTTTGAAATGTAGTAACTAAGACCAGTTACTTTGCAACTAACTTTCATGACCACTTTATGCTTATTGTTCATGAATCTGAGTCAAAAAGTAGTTGTTCCTATTTAGAACAGGCATACTAGGTATGGGCTTGATACTAATAAAGACATGTGCTGTGTACACCTAGTGTCCCATGCCTTTTCTGCCAGCCTCATCAAATCTCAAAGGGGAGCCAGTTTCAAATAAGGAGGCTGTTCAGAGATTGGACTATTTAGAGATATGAGTAATTTCTTGTCCCAGTTATAAAGAGGAAGACAAGACATTTGTTTAACACTGTAGGTCATTGTTTTTTGTTTTGTTTGGTTTTTTTTGTTTGTTTTGTTTTGAGATAGAGTCTAACTCTGTCGCCCAGGCTGGAGTGCAGTGGCACAATCTTTGCTCACTGCAACTTCCGCCTCCCAAGTTCAAGCGATTCTTCTGCCTCAACCTCCCAACTTTGTATTTTTAGTAGAGATGGGGTTTCACCGTGTTAGCCAGGGTGGTCTTGATCTCCTGACCTCGTGATCTACCTGCCTCGGCCTCCCAAAGTGCTGGGATTAGAGGTGTGAGCCACTGCGCCCGGCCTGCTTTTGTTTTTTCAATTTAATTTCCACATACAGCATTGAGGGTCAAGGTTAAAAAATCTTTTGTAATAAAATTTGGGAATTGAGAAATAAAGAAGAATTGCTTTTTTTTGTTTGTTTGTTTGAGACAGAGTCTCACTCTGTCACCCAGGCTAGAGTGCAGTGGCATGATTTCGGCTCACTGCAGCCTCCACCTCCTGGGTTCAAGCAATCTCCCACCTCAGCCTCCCAAGTAGCTAGGATTACAGGTGCATGCCACCACGCCCAACTAATTTTTTTCGTATTTTTAGTAGAGACGGGGTTTCACCATGTTGGCCAGACTGGTCTCAAACTCCTGACCTCAGGCGATCCACCCACCTTGGCCTCCCAAAGTGCTGGGATTACAGGCATGAGCCACCGCACCTGGCCAGGAATTGCCTTTAACGGTGAGGGACTAGTTCAAATTTTGGCTGTAGTACTGGCCGTTATAGAAATTGGTCTGGAGCAAGTGAAACTCTTTACTTGCATTTAAAGTAGAAACAATCCTTGAAATATCAGAATTTTATTTTGTGTATTTATATGTGATGGTCATTCTGTTATTAGAAAGAATGCTAATTTATTCCCAATAGCATTGTAGTTCCCCAAAATATTTATGTATATAATCTCAAGTAAATAAAATAGTTGTACTAGATGATGTCATTTTTTAAAAAATTCTGTAAGACTGTGATTTTATAATTTCCTTACAGCTTAATATTTCCTTGTCTAGCCAAGCGTGGTGGCTCACACCTGTAATCTCAGCACTTTGGCAGGCCGAGGCGGGAGGATCGGTTGAGCCCAGGAGTTAGAGACCAGCCTGGGCAACATAGTGAGACCTCGTCTCTACAAAAAATAAACTGGGCATGGTGGTATGTCCCTGTGGTCCCAGCTACTAGGGAGGCTGAGGTGGCAGGATCACTTGAGTCTGGGAAGTTGAGGCTGCAGTGAGCCGAAATTGCACCAGTGCCCTCCAGCCTGGGTGACATAGTGATACCTTGTCTCAAACAACAAGAAAATATTTCCTTGTCTAAAGCACTTATAATAGGGGTGCATGATTGTCCATATGAGCCCTTGACATAAATTAAAATTTGATGTTCAGGAAGCAGTTCAAAATCATTTCATGGATGTATAAACCAAAGCCTCAGGAAAAGAAAAATGCAAGTTTATTCATTAAGTCCCTCTCTATGGATATCATGAGTTGATATTTTAAAAGTTGTATATAGGCCGGGCTCAGTGGCTCATGCCTGTAATCCCAGCACTTTGGGAGGCCAAGGCAGGCGGATCACAAGGTCAGGAGATTGAGACCAACCTGGCTAACACAGTGAAACCCCGTCTCTACTAAAAATACAAAAAGAAAAAAAAATTAGCCGGGAGTGGTGGTGGGCGCCTGTAGTCCCAGCTACTCAGGAGACTGAGGCAGGAGAATGGCGTGAACCCGAGAGGCGGAGCTTGCAGTGAGCCGAGATAGCACCATTGCACTCCAGCCTGGGCTACAGAGCCAGACTCTGTCTCAAAAAAAAAAAAAAAAAAAGGTGTATATGAAATTATATTAAATTATGCTTAAGAATCTTAGGCTGGGCGTGGTGGCTCACGCCTGTAATCCCAGCACTTTGGGAGGCTGAGGTGGGCGGATCACGAGGTCAGGAGATTGAGACCATCCTGGCTAACCTGGTGAAACCCCGTCTCTACTAAAAACACAAAAAAATTAGCCGGGCGTGGTGGCGGGCGCCTGTAGTTCCCAGCTGCTTAGGAGGCTAAGGCAAGAGAATGGGTGAAGCCGGGAGGTGGAGCTTGCTGTGAGCCAAGATCACACCACTGCACTCCAGCCTGGGCGACAGAGCAAGACTCCGTATGAAAAAAAAAAAGAATCTTGATGTAATATTTTTCATTTGATATTCAAACAGCCAAAAATATCCTTTTCTTAAAATGTCTTTTCTAAAAGCATATAATTTTTCTTGAGAAATTTGCATTGAGCCACTTTAGGCAAAATGTTTTAAGTATTTTTTTTAACGGTGGGCCCTTTTATAGATTTATTAATATTAATAATATAGCATTTATTACAGAAACATTACCAAGAACTCCTCAATGCCATCAAGGTATTATTATCATGTTCATATATTTTTATTGCTCTTCTTTCTGTATTTCATATTTTATGCAAATATGAGTCTTAGTTATCTAATAGGTAAAACTGATAATATGCTTCTGCCTAATGAAAAAGTAAAAATCTACAGCCTTTTTAATGGATATGAAAATGGAGGAAATGGGCCAGGTGCAGAGGCTTACACTTGTAATCCCAGCGCTATGGGAGGCTAAGGTGGGAGGATTGCTTGGGCCCAGGAGTTTGAGACCAGCCAGGACAACATAGTGAGGCCCCATCTCTACAAAAAATTGAAAAAAATTAGCTAGCATGGTGGTGTACATCTGTAGTTCCAACTACTCTGGCAGCTGAGGTGGGAGGAACAGTTGAGTCTGGGAGGTGGAAGCTGCAATGTGCCATAATCGTGCCACCACACTCCAAACTGGGTGACAGAGTGAGACCTTGTCTCAAAAAAAAAAAAAAAAAGGAGGAATTACAGTTTAGATTTCGTTATAAAATAGGATGTAAGCTTTATTTATTCTTTATTTAGATATATTCAGTATTTTCATGAGATTACTTTCTTTTGTAGATAATTATCAAACAGCACAGCTACTTGCCTTAATTTTAGAGTTACTCACATTTTGTGTGGAACATCACACATATCACATTAAAAACTATATTATGAACAAGGACTTGCTAAGAAGAGTCTTGGTCTTGATGAATTCAAAGCACACTTTTCTGGCCTTGTGTAAGTATAAAATGTTTTAAGGAGCAACATTTTTAATAGAGATAAAACTGAAGTTACCCATTTGAAGTTATTTATTAGTAGTGTATATTCTATGAATGAGATGATTGTGAGAAGTCCTACTCTTTTGTTCTTATGTAAAGGGTGAGACGACTAGGCTGTAGTGATTTTCCCACCCACATATTGCTCACATTTAGAATCAATGAGCCTAACTTTTGTTGTGATACAGTACCATGTGCAGTGACAGCATTTTACTAACAGAACCAGTCCTGCTGTTTTTTTTACATCTACTTCATCAAACTGTCATTTAGTAGTCACTCTTTATAATTATCCTGATATTTGCATCAATGTTGATTTTTGGCAGACTATAAACTAAAAAAGTTTCATAATTTCACCTGCAAACAGAGAAAGAAACATCCTCCCTCCAAATGAAAAGGATTTTGTGATTTTATTCTGACCATAAAAATTATAGCTTAAATATAGACATTTAATTTAATGTAAAGAGAAAATGTTAATCTCCCTAATCTTTATTTTTATGGACTTAAAATAGCCAGTATTAACTATCTGCGTTCTTTTTTTAATACCGGTACCAATTTAGATAATAAACATATTCACACATGTATGGAGGATTTTTTTGTGTTTTTTATATTTACAAAACAGGATCATACCAACACATTTCTCAGCCCCCTAGTACTACTCTAGCTTAATCAATATTGTGTAGACTGATTTTATTCCTGGAGATAGCTGAGTAAGATTTTATAGTATGGCTCTTCCACAGATTCTTCTACCATTCTCCAGTGAATAAATTACAAGATTGTTTTTGCTTTTTTGCCACTCCAAACCTCACTGTGGTAAATAGTCTAATACATAAATCTTTTAAGTACTGATTTATTTCTTTCTATAGGATAGATTCTCAATAATGGGACTGGTAAGACAAAATGTTTATCTGTTTTATACTTTTTAATGTATCCCTTTAAGTTTTAATTTACCATATAGCTGCCAGATTACTTCCCCCAAAATTGAAGCACTTTGATATTCTCCCAGCATTCAGTGTTACTAATTTTAAAATGTTATCAATCTGATAATGGAAAATGTGGTATCTCATTGTTACTCTAATTTGCATTTTCCCTGACAGCATCTTTTCATATATTAGTGTACTTTGCATTTTTATCTGTTGTGAATTGCCAGTTATCTTTTTCTTAGAGCTTTTTGCATATTAGAGATACTAATGGTTTATCATGTTTTGAGGAGAACATGTCTATCTTCATTGTCTTTTGCCTTTGCCTTTATTTATAGTGTTGTTTTCCAAATAACTTTAAAATTTCCTTGTGATGACAAAAATGTCTTTGTTTTCCTTTTATGACTTTTAGGTTTTTTGTTTTGCTTAGGAAAGTCTGTGTCCTAAGATTATACAGATATTCTCACTTTCTTCTAATATCTTTATTTCCTTTTTTACATTTTTATGTAACACATGTGAGCTCACTGCAAGCTCCGCCTCCCGGATTCACGCCATTCTCCTGCCTCAGCCTCCTGAGTAGCTGGCACTACAGGCGCCCGCCACCGCGCCCGGCTAATTTTTTTGTATTTTTAGTAGAGATGGGGTTTCACCGTGGTCTCAATCTCCTGACCTTGTGATCCGCCCGCCTCGGCCTCCCAAAGTGCTGGGATTACAGGCGTGAGCCATCGCACCCGGTCTCCTTCTGAATTGAAATATAATTTCTGTTATACAATAAGTTAACATATATATACTTTTGTTTTATTTCTGGATTGTCGTTTAATTTCACCAAATGAAAAAGTACCAGTGTTGGCCAGGCGCAATGGCTCACGCCTGTAATCCCAGCACTTTGGGAGGCCAACGTGGGTGGATCACCTGAGGTCAGGAGTTCGAGAGCAGCCTGGGCAACATGACCATCTCTACTAAAAATGCAAAAATTAGCCAGTGTATATCTGTAATGGTGGTGTATATCTGTAATCCCAGCTACTCAGGAAGCTGAGGCAAGAGAATCGCTTGAACCCGGGAGACGGAGGTTAAAGTGAGCTGAGATTGCTCCACTGCACTCTAGCCTGGGCAACAGAGCAAGACTCTGTCTCAAAAAAAAACAAATAAAACAAAAAAAAACCAGTGTTTATTATATTATGCCAGGCATTATCGTGTCTCTGTTGTAAGGTTTAATACCTACTGAGACCCCTTCGCTTTTGTTTTTCATACTTTTCTTAGTGGTTCTTAGACAATTTTTTCTTTCATAATAACTAAATGATTATATCCAGTTCATTTTGATTGGAATTACATTATATTTTTATATTAATTTTGGAATGGTTGATGTTCTTAAGACAGATTTTCCTATTTGGTTCTCTATAAATAGTACTTTTTGATGACTGCAGAGTACTTCCCTTAATATGAACATGTCAATTGAGTGCATTTCCTTTTTTTTTTTTTTTTTTTCTGAGATAGAGTCTCACTCTGTTGCCCAGACTGGAGTATAGTGGTGCAGTCTCGGTTCACTGCAACTTGTGCTTCCGGGGTTCAAGTGATTCTCCTGCCTCAGCCTCCCGAGTAGCTGGGATTACAGGCGCCTGCCACCACACCTGGCTAATTTTTTGTATTTTTTGTAGAGACGGGGTTTCACCATGTTTGCCAGGCTGGTCTCGAACTCCTGACCTCGTGATCCACCCTCTTCAGCTTCCCAAAGCACTGAGATTACAGGCGTGAATCACTGCATGCAGCCACAATTTCCAATATTTAAATGTTTATATCATTTCAAGATTTCTATTATTATAAGCAGGGCTGTTGTAACTCTAGTTTTGTGTACATATCAGTTCATTTACCAGCAGTGTATAAGTCTGCCTCTTTGCTCACACACTTGCCAGTGCTTCAGTCTGTTGCATCTTAAGTAAACCATTTCTTATCCTGCCACAAAAAGAGGGGAGATTGCAAGTCTAACATTTCTCCCCATACTTATTTGGTGCTACAGTTAACATTTATCCCTTATGTGGCCTATTTCTGTTTTATTCTCAGATAATGTTTAGAACCTCTTGTGACAGGCACACTTCTTTATTTAATGAGTTTCATCTATGAACAGAGGGTTGGAATGAGAAAATGACTTATAAAATCAGAACCCTTGTGTTTTGAAGATTTGGCTAGTGGTATCTGTAGAATAAATTAAACTACTTAGGGGGAAGTGTACAAGTTAAAGGATCAACAAATATAAAAATAAAGGATTGAAATTACAGTCCTTCCTCTTCCATAAAATTTTTAGCAGTAATATTGCTAAATTTAGTAAGCTTTATTTAGCTACTCATGAGTTAAAAAGGAGATTTCTTTTCAGTATCCTAAAATGTGAAGTGAAGTTGTACTTCTTATTCATTACTCTGTTTTGCTTTTAACAAATACAATCTGATCTGCCAAGTGCATGTTTAGCCAGGTAAAATAGCTTGTAAGCAATTGGTACATAAGAGAATGATGTCATTATAATATGGAGATAGGATTGGTTCACAAATGTTTGTTTGTTTGTTTGTGTTTTGAGACAGAGTCTCATAGACGGGGTTTCACCATGTTGGCCAGGCTTGTCTCAGTCTCCTGACCTGGTGATCCGCCCGCCTCGGCACAAATCTTTTTTCAAGGCAAGGAGAAGTAGAATAGTGTGAGTGGAAATAGCCTTGATCAAAGAAGTAAAAAACCTTTAGATCTCCTGTTATGTGATTGGCATCTGGCATCAGGAGCCTCTTTAGCTGTATTTTCAGAAAATTAAAAACAAGCTTTTGCCTCTAAAGCTCACTCCCTCAGAGAGGCAAGGCAATCTTAGCTCATGGCAGATTGCCCACTCCTGTGCCCACCTTAATGACAGTGCCCCCAACTGATTCTGAGCTGCCTTCACTGCATTGTCTCAGCATCTACCAGCACTGCTCTAAATACTGCTAGCATTTTGCCTATTTTTTAATCTCTGTCGTAGAGCTACCTGCCTGGGTAGTTTATCTCCTAGATTCCAATTACTGTTTGTTGTTGTTGTTGTTGTTGTTAGTTCTGGCTACAGAGTTGTACAGGTTTTGAGCGGTCCTCTGCAGCTCTGTTTTCCTCAAAGTCCAGTTTTACTGAACAGTTTTACTTTTCATTTTAGAGGAGTTTACTTTTTACTTTATGCACAGTTTTACTTTTCATTTTAGAAGAGCATATACATTGCTTTATAGTGGGAAAACACCTGTATAATAATTGATTTTAGTAAGATCATTAACTTATCCCCTATATTATGTTTTATTAGGTGCTCTTCGCTTTATGAGGCGGATAATTGGACTTAAAGATGAATTTTATAATCGTTACATCACCAAGGGAAATCTTTTTGAGCCAGTTATAAATGCACTTCTGGATAATGGAACTCGGTACAATCTATTGAATTCAGCTGTTATTGAGTTGTTTGAATTTATAAGAGTGGTAAGTTTATATAAAACAACAGTTATTATATGTAATTTATGCAAATAAATAATTTTTTATGTAAAAGTAAAAGAATTATATGTAAGCAAGGTGACTTCATTCCCTTTTCACCCCTGAAATTATATATTCCATGTGTCTTAGAATCTATTTCTAATGAACTGAAATTTTAAAAATCAGTAGCTTTTTAATTCTTATTTGCCACATGGTTATGGTTTAGTGGTTTTTATTTTTGACGCTAATATTTTTTAACACTAATATTTTTAATTGTGAAATATAAAAGTGAAATTCAGCGTAGTCTTTCAGCCCATATTTACTTGATTTTCTCAGTTCCTTTTTTATTGGCCCAATGTTTTATGATCTCATTTGGTGTATGTGGACATTTCAGTCAATCATGCCTTAGTCATGTGATCTTTTAGGAGAAGGTGATATTTTTATTGTAAAGGTAGTGATTTAAAAAGAATAAAGATGGAAAAATAATTCATTTGGTGTTGGGTGTGATGGCTCACATCTGTAATCCCAGCACTTTGGGAGGCCTGGGCGGGCCGATCACTTAAGGTCAGGAGTTAGTAACCAGTCTGGCCAACGTGATGAAACCCTGGCTCTACTAAAAATACAAAAATGAGCTGGGTGTGATGGCACACAGCTGTAGTCTCAGCCACTTGGGAAGCTGAAGCACAAGAATCTCTTGAACCCAGGAGGTGGGGTTGCAGTGAGCCAAGATTACGTCACTTCCTTCCAGCCTGGGTGACAGAGCAAGACTCTTGTCTCAAAAAAAATTCATTTGGTAGACATTATACAAGGTGCATAAAAGGTAGAATGGAATCCTAGAATTTTAAGTTAAAGAGATCAGGAAGTTAGATGGACTACTCCAATTACCGTATTTTATAGATCAGGGAATTAAGACACCCAAAGTTATTAAGTGACCTATGCAAGAACATCCATTTGGATAGTAGCACAATCAGGACCAGTCAGAACTTGAAGCTTTGTCCCAGCTTAGTTTTAGGCAACAGAAGATTTGTCATAAACAGTCTGGAGGGCAATCTATGTGAATAACAGGAGTGCGACAGATAACTGTAGAACCACTACAACAAATTTACTTCGCCTGTACTTAAACATGCTGAAATCATTCTACTGAGGAAATGGCCACATGGTTGGAAAGAATTTGGGTTTTATTTTTTGTTTTGTGTTGTTTGAGACAAGGTCTCATGCTGTCTGTCGCCCAGGCTTGAGTGCAATAATGCAATCAGAGTTCACTGCAGCCTCGACCTCCTGGGCTCAAGCAGATCCTCCCACGTCAGCCTTCTGAGTAGTTGGAAATACAGGCATTCACTAAAATGCCTGGGTAATTTTTAATTTTAATTTTTAATTTTTATGGGGTCTCCTTGTGTTGCCCAGGCTGGTCTCAAACTCCTAGGCTCAACCAGTCCTCCCACCTCAGCCTCCCAAAGTGTTGGATTACAGGTGTGAGCCACTGCACCTGGCTGGAAATAATTTGAAAAAAGAAAGTCGAAGCTAGAAATTCATTCTCTAGTTTTATTTCTTACAAATCAGATATCTACTGATAACATGCTGTTCTCATATGAAGATTATTTGGCTGACTGGATTGTTTTTCTAAAAGTGGTCAATTGCCAAGTATATGATTTTTAAAAGGATGAAGAGGATAGAAGTCTTTAACCTTGTAAAAGAAGAAACATGGTTAACTAGCTCACTAGTTCCCATTGTACTGCTACAATAAATCAAAGCTTTCTGTTTTATTTACTTTATATTTTTATCCTTTAACATTTTGGTGAGATACAGATAAAGCAAATTGTAGGGTTTACAACCCCGTCCCTATGCCCATGATGGAATTGTTTTTCTGAAAATAAGTTTGAGTGGTTGATTTGTGTACCTTGTGCCCCAAAACTTAATGTATTTTTTCGTTTCACATATAACAGAGCCATTGCCTAGGTTTCTAATTTCTGATTTGCATGTTTTTAATTGAGATGTACAGGAGAACTAGTTTTAAGACTTAAATTCCATAATGCAACCAAATTATGGTGTATCTTTTTAAGAAATGGCCTGTGTGTTTCTTACTATGTAGTATTATCTATAAAGTCCTGAATCACATCTTTAATTTTTTTTCTAAATAAGCCTACTGGGCATGCATGCATCTGCAGTGATGGTTTAGAATTTAGAAGTTATTACTATCAAGTAGTTTATTTCACAAAGATTATACTATTGGAAGACTATAGGAATAGACAAGTAGAATTCCAGATAGTTTATCAGATCTGTGTGTATAATATAGTCAGAGAAATCTGTGCTTCTTATTACTTAGGTAAGATGTATCCTCTGTTGTTTTTTCTTCTTCTATATGTGAGAGCCAGCCTCTGATGTGAGAAAGACTTGTGAGAGATCTCTTTGTCATCAAGCCTTTGCCAGCTGCTATGTAATACATGTGGTGGAGTTAGGCTCATTCAAAAACTTAACAAATGTACCAGAAGGAAAACCACCACAGCCATATCCCATTTTGATAGCAGTTAAACAGGAAGTCATTAAATAATACCTGTTTGTTGAAAAATACGTTTTTCTTTTATTAATACATAATATTGTACAGATGTATTTGGTACACATATTTATTTTAACATGCATAGAATGTGTAATTATCAAGTCCGGGTATTTGGGATATCCATCACCGTGAGTATTTTGAAAACTTAATTTTAACATCTGCCCTCTAACCAGCTGTGTGCTTTGGATCAAACCATCCAGCCTCTCTCAGAGCCTCAATTTTGTTTTTCTCTAAAATGGGGATAATAAAACCTATCTCAAAGAATTGTTGCGAAGATCAAATGAAATTGTATGTAAAAGTGCTTTTTAAGTTGTAAGGTGCTATATATATATATATATAAAATGCAAAAAATAAATAGAAGATGTAAAATAAATCTATTCACTTTTCGAATGTTCTTTATAGTCCTACAAAAGGGCTCCAGTAAATTGCTTCTCCTTTTTTTTCAAGTTTTCTGTGCAGTCCTGACTCATGTGTAAAGAAACCAGGACATTACATTTTGGAAGGTGATTTTGAAAAACCTTTTTTGATCAGCTTTAGAACTACAAAACAAAATTTTAAAGTTTTTCTTCTAATAAGCATTGTATTATATTTTAAATGTAAATTTTGTCTTTGTACAGGAAGATATCAAGTCTCTTACTGCACATATAGTTGAAAACTTTTATAAAGCACTTGAATCGATTGAATATGTTCAGACATTCAAAGGATTGAAGACTAAATATGAGCAAGAAAAAGACAGACAAAATCAGAAACTGAACAGGTATGGTTTAAGTATACTGCTTTTATAGCCTAAAAAATTGTGTCCAAAATTGTCTGTAGTTCAGATTTTCTGTGTGAAATTTATTGAGGAAGTTTCTTTTCATCACTGGATAGCATAGAGTTGAATAGGAGGGTAAGGTGTCTCCCACTACCCCATATCATTTATATGATAAATCACTACTTTATCTTAAGTAGTTGTATTTTATTGTAACTTAAGAAGAATATTTAGTTTAATTTTTGTATTAAGAAGATTATAACTTAAGAAGAATATTTAGTTTAATTTACAACATTCTAAAATATTTTGGAGTGTTCTCTGGCTACATCTTCTATCATTACAGAGATTATTTTGATATAAATTATAGTCAGTTAAAATTACTTCAGTTCCTCTTGGTTATACATATCTTTCCTTCAATTCAATCTGGTTATGACCTTTAAATCATTACTCAGTATTTGTGATATATTTCTTACAGTGTACCATCTATATTGCGTAGTAACAGATTTCGCAGAGATGCAAAAGCCTTGGAAGAAGATGAAGAAATGTGGTTTAATGAAGATGAAGAAGAGGAAGGAAAAGTGGTTGTGGCGCCAGCGGAAAAATCTAAACCAGAAGATGATTTTCCAGATAATTATGAAAAGTTTATGGAGACTAAAAAAGGTATTCAAATTCTGAATTTTTGCACAGTGTACCCTCTTATTTAGTGCAGAAATTATTTTGTTGCTTGTGAAGTTTTGTTTGTAGTTTATAAAGCAAGAAAGACAAGAATTTTATACCAAATTGTGTTCTTTTAAAATTATGTACTTTTTCCAAATCTGTCTGGGAATTCTTTTCATGTTTAAAATGTTTCTCTTCAAATTTGCCATTTTGTAATGCTATCAATTTGCTAGTTAGAAATTGAGTTACTTACTTACACTTTTCTTTCTGTGAATAGTCTTGGCTTTATTTCTATACTGAAATTCTCAGTAATAACAGAGACCATATAGCTTCATAGAAACCTTCTAGAGTACTTTGCCTGTGTCTTTTACAGCTGATAAACTGAACTCAAACAAGTAACTTTGCTCTTTGAAATTTTAAAATTACGAAAGTTGCATAAAGATATACTATCAAGAGAAGTGAAAAACTAAAATAAAACTTCCCTTGGCTTTCAGATGTGCTTAACTTGTTTTATAAAATGAAGATCTTGCTAGTACTATATCTTTCAAAAGAACTAATCATTTTATTTCTGTGGCCTGAGGAATTACCATTTTTTGGAATACTGCCCTGTGTATGTCATTTAAATATTTAATTAAAATTTATACCTTGCTGGGCATGGTGGCTCACATCTGTAATCCCAGCACTTTGGGAGGCTGAGGCAGGTGGATCATTTGAGCCCGGGAGTTCCAGACGACCCTGGGTAGCATGGTAAAACCCTGTCTCTACAAAAAAAACACAAAAATTAGATGGGCACAGTGGCACTTACCTGGAGTCCCGGCTACTAGGAAGGCTGAGGCTGGAGGATCACTTGAGCCCAGGAGGTCGAAGCTGCAGTGAGCCATGAGCTGCCACTGCACTCTAGCCTGGTAACAGAGAAAGACCCTATCTCAAAAACAAAACAAAAAATTTATGTCTTAGAAGATAAAAGCCTTTCTTGGATTTATTATGTAAGTTTGTGATTTTGAATGTGATATTTTCTGAAGGCAATTCTCAGAAAATTTATTTATTACATTTTCTTTGAAACTATTGTTCCTACTCATTTTTCAACTCATTAATTTGATAAGTTTTTTTTGCCTCAGCATGGTGGAGCAAAAAGCCTATTAAAATGTCCTAAGGAATGGGTACCTTTGCTAGACAAATTCTTCTGCCTTTACTCATTATAGGTACTGCCCTGACTACAGTCAAAAGAGGCAATACAGCCATATTTGAAGTTCTGTATCCAGTGTTGAGTGAGACGCTATTAAGAATCATATATAAAAATAATAACCAGATGTTAAAAGGGATTGGACACCTATGTCATAAAACAAACGGAAAAGGGAACCTGGAATATTTAGGACTTACAGACTTGATCATTGTCATTAGGCATTTGGAATATTGACTTGTGAGAGAAATTACTAGGTTTTTACAATGAGTAAAGAAGTGTAGAATCAGTGAGTGGAAGCTACAGGGAGACAATAAAAGGAAGAGTCAGACAGCTCATGAGATTTTAGATGGATATGCTAGATACCACAATGTAGAGTTCTAGCATAGGATGGCTAATTTTGTTATGATCCGTAAGGTCCTTCCTAATACTGAGATTTCTAAGATTCTAGCTGATAAAGACTTATCACTTGTATTAGTTCGTTTAATACTGTTATAAAGAACTACCTAAGACTGGGTAGTTTATGAAGAAAAGAGGTTTGATAGACTCACGGTTCCTTAGGCTTAACAGGAAACATGGCTGAAAGGCTTCGGGAAACTTACAGTCATGGTTGAAGGCACAAGGAAAGCAAGCATATCTTAACCATGGTGGAGCGGGAGACAGAGAGTGTGAAGGAGGAGGTGCCACACACTTTTGTTTGTTTGTTTGTTTGTTTTTTGAGATGTAGTCTCACTCTTGTTGCCCAGCCTGAAGTACAGTGCCGTGATCTCAGCTCACTGCAACCTCCGCCTCCCGGGTTCAAGCGATTCTCCTGCCTCCCAAGTATTTGGGATTACAGGCATGCACTACCACACCTGGCTAACTTTTACATTTTCAATAGAGATGGGGTTTCACCATGTTGACCAGGCTGGTCTCGAACTCCTGGCCTCAGATGATTCACCCGCCTTGGCCTCCCAAAGTGCTGGGATTACAAGCATGAGCCACCAAGCCCGACCAAGGTGCCACACACTTTTAAACAACCAGATCTCATGAGAACTCACTATCACAAAAATAGCAAGGGGGTATTCTGCCTCCATGATTCAATCATCTCCTCCAACACAATTACAATTCACAATGAGATTTGGGTGAGGACAAGAGCCAAACCTTATCATTCCACCGCGGCCCCTCCCTAATCTCATGTCCTTTTTACATTTCAAAACCAATCATGCCTTCCCAACAGTCCCCCAAAGTCATAACTCATTCCAGCATTAACTCAAAAGTCCAAGCACAAAGTCTCATATGAGACAAGGTAAATCCCTTCTGCCTATGAGCCTATAAAATAAAAAACAAGTTAGTTACCTCCAAGATACAATGAGGGTGCAGACATTGGGTAAATGCTCCCATTCCAAATGGGAGAAATTGGCCAAATCAAAGGGGCTACAGGCCCTGGGCAAGTCCGCAGCCCAGCAGGGCAGTCTTTGAATCTTAAAGCTCCGAAATCGTGTCCTTTGACTCCGTGTCTAACACCAGGGCATGCTGATACAACAGGTAGGCTCCCAAGGCCCCAGCTGGCTCTGCCCCTATGGCTCTGCCGGGTACGGCCCCCATAGCTGCTTTCATGGGCTGGAGTTGAGTGCCTGTGGCTTTTCCAGGTACATGGTGCAAGCTGTTGGTGGATCTACTGTTCTGGGGTCTGGAGGATGATGGCCCTCTTCTCATGGCTGCACTAGGCAGTATCCCAGTGGGGACTCTGTATAGGGACTGCAACCTCACATTTCCATTCTGCACTGCCCTAGTAGAGGTTCTTCATAAGAGCTCTGCCCCTGCAGCAGATTTCTGCCTAGACATCCAGGCATTTCTGTATGTCTTCTGAAATCTAGATGGCTTGAGAATCAGAGGTTACCAAACCTCAGTTCTTGCCCTCTGCACACCCACAGGCCCAGCATCACATGGAAGCCACCAAGACTTGGGGCTTGCACCCTCTAAAGCCATGGCCCAAGCTGTACCTTGGCTCCTTTTAGCCATGACTGGAGCTGCAGCACCTGGGATGCAGAGTGTCCCAAGACTGCACAGAGCAGTAGGTCCCTGGGCCCAGTTCACAAAACCATTTTTTCCTCCTAGGCCTCTGGGCCTGTGAATTAACATTTGGCTCCTTGTTACTTATTCAGATTTCTGCAGCCAGCTTGAATTTCTCCTCAGAAAATGGATTTTTCTTTTCTACTGCATGGTCAGGCTGCAAGTTTTCCAAACTTTATGCTCTGCTCCTTTTTAAATATAAATTCTAATTTCAGACTATCTCTTTTTCATGCATATGAGCATACACTTTTAGAAACAGCCAGAAGGCTTTTTTTTTTTTTTTTTTTTTTGAGACGGAAATCTCTGTTGCCCAGGCTGGAATGCAGTGGCATGATCTCAGCTCACTGCAACCTCTGCTCCCAGGTTCAACCAATTCTCCTGCCTCCAGCTCCCAAGTAGCTAGGACTACAGCGTCTCCCGTAGAGTTCTATCCCCATCCTCCTCGTTTCTTGTCTCGGGTGATACACCTTATTTGACCACCAAGCTAATTTTTGTGTTTTTTTGGAGTTCTTTTTCAATTAGAGGACCCAGCGTTGCCTCACCGATGGTTTGGCCAAGTGGTCTTCGAACTACCTGACCTCAAGAATCCACGCCACCTCAACCTCCCAGAAGTGCCTGGCGATTACAGGCCGTGATGGCCACCGTCCAGCCCAGCCAGCCATTGGCCTTGAATGCTCTTTGCTGCTCTTGACATTTTTCACAGATACCCTAAATCATCTCTCTCAGTTCCAAGTTTCCACAATCTCTAGGGGCAGGGGGCAAAATGCTGCCAGTCTCGCTTTGGCTTAAAGCATAGCAACGGTATGACCTTTACTCCAGTTCACAGTAATGTTCCTTACCTCCATTCTGAGACCTCCTCAGCACTGCGACTTCATATGTCCATCACTGTCAGCATTTTGGGTCACAAAACCGTTCAACAAGCTCTTTGAAGTTCCAGACTTCCCATATTTTCTTGTCTTTTTCGTAAGACCTCCAAATTCGTTCCAACTCTGCCTATTACCCGTTCCAAAGTTGCTGCTTTACTTCAGCGTTCATTTTTTTTGAGTGTGAGTGCACTCTTCCCGGCTTGGGATAGGGACCGCGGCTCGCTGCAACCTCTGCCTCCTAGTTCAAGCATTCTTCCTGGCCTCAGGCCACCAGGAGCAGCTGGGATTATGGGTTGGCCACCACCCCCAGCTAATTTTGTATTTTTAAATCGAGAAGAGGTTTCTCATGTTGGCAGGCTGGTTCTTGACTCCTGATCCTCAATGTCTATCCACCCTCCCAGCCTCCCAAAGACTGGGATTACAGGCTGTGAGCCACCGCTGCCTTGCCATTTTCAGGGGTATCTTTATAGCAGTACCCCACCTGCCTGGTACAAATTTTCTGTGCAGTTCGTTTTCACGCTGCTCTAAAGAACCTACCTGCGACGTGTAATTTTATGAAGAAAAGAGGTATAAGTTGACTTACTTTCCACGTAGCTGGGGAGGCCTCAGGAAACTCTGTGGTGGAAGGTTGAATGGAGAAACCAAGGCATGTTTACATGGCCAGCAGGAGAGGGAGAGAGCAAGGGTGGGACATGACCACCCTTTAGAACAACCAGATCTCGTGAGAACTCACTGTCACAAGAACAGCAAGGGGGGAAGTCCACCCCCATGATCCAGTCACCTCTCAGCAGTCCCTCCCTGATACATGGGGATTACAATTTGATTGGTTGAGATTAGAGGGGGGGACACAGAGCCAAACCGTATCATCACTGTACACATCATGCTCTACTTTTTAAAAAGTTCTTAGGAAACAAAGGCAATTTTTTTTTTTTTTTTTTTTTTTTTTTTTTTGGCAGAGTTTCGCTCTTGTTGCCCAGGCTGGAGTGCAATGGCATGATCTCGGCTCACCACAACCTCTGCCTCTCGGGTTCAAGTGATTCTCCTGCTTCAGCCTCCCAAGTAGCTGGGATTATAAACATACGCCACCACACCCAGATAATTTTGTATTTTTAGTAAAGACGGGGTTTTTCCATGTTGGTCAGGCTGGTCTCGAACTCCGGCCTCGGGTGATCTGCCCGCCTCAGCCTCCCAAAGTGTTGGGATTACAGGCGTGAGCCACCGTGCTCAGGCAGCAATGTTTTATAAGTTTTTAAATTATTGCTCTTTTTAGATGTTTTGACTTAGCAGTATTTATTGATATACGTTCAAAATTTTACTTTTGCTTTAGCAAAAGAAAGTGAAGACAAGGAAAACCTTCCCAAAAGGACATCTCCTGGTGGCTTCAAATTTACTTTCTCCCACTCTGCCAGTGCTGCTAATGGAACAAACAGTAAATCTGTAGTGGCTCAGACACTGCCAGCCACTTCTAATGGATCCTCTTCCAAAACCACAAACTTGGCTACGTCAGTAACAGCCACCAAGGTAGGTGAAACAGCATTACACACAAACTTTGCTTTTCCCATCTGAGATTTTTTCATGTTTACTGAAAAAAATTTGGATAATCAAAACAATTTCAATAGAATTTTTGTTATCAAAACATTGTTGATTATAGAATTTTATTTTATTTTTTTTATTTTATTTTATTTTTTGAGACAGAGTCTCACTCTGTCGCCAGGCTGGTGTGCAGTGGAGTGATCTCAGCTCACTGCAACCTCTGCCTCCCAGGTTCAACCAATTCTCCTGCCTCAGCCTCCCAAGTAGCTAGGACCACAGGTGTTGTCACCACACCTGGCCAATTTTTTTGTATTTTTAGTAGAGACGGGGTTTCACCACATTGGCCAGAATGGTCTCGATCTCTTGACTTCATGATCCGCCCACCTCGGCCTCCCAAGGAGAATTTCATTTTATTTAGGCTTATGATAATAAATGTAAGCATCCTTCCTCCTTGTCCCCCATTCTATTTTGGAGCACTTAAGTTGATTCTAATATTTCACTGACTACTTAGTGTTACTGCATTTTAAATTATTTTCTTGGATAGTTGAGTAGTAGAATATCTTCATACATACGGTCACATTCATATTCAGAAAGTCTGTGCCAGTTGATGTTACTATAAACTGTATATGAGTGTGCCTGGCCAATTGCAGCTTTGCCAGTGCTATAATTATTTTTAGTATTTGCCAGGTAGGTAGGTGAGACAGTATATAATATCTCATTTCCAATTGTGTATACTTTATTGGTAGTAAGGCTAAATATTAGCCTTTTGAATCTGCTCTTCTCTGCAAATTGGATTATATTATTGTTGATGAATCTTTAGTTAAGGATATTAGACTTTCTGTTGTTCTTATAACAAATGTATTTCCCTTGGTTACCTTTTTTTATAAACAGGTTTAAATTTTATATGAAACATTTTTCTTGTTCATATGTTATATGAAATCATCCTTTTTCCCCAAAAAGGAGTGGCTTAAAATAAAAAGGCATAAATATGGGACAACTATTGTATAAAGATAGAAAGACAAGCAGAAACACCATGGTAGTGCACACCTAGCTGAAGGAATGCATCTTGTTTGGAACACAAAATATAAGTCTAAGTTTATTTTACAAAAATGAAGAATTTTCATTCAGTAGTATAGTGAGATAGGCTCTTGACAATAGCATTTTCATGGTATTCTGTATTTGAAATATATTTTATGTTTTTTAACTGGAAAATTTTAAAATTAATTTTCAACTTTATGGTAGGACAATTTAGAGTGATATTGTGACACTACATTAAGAATGTTTGGGCTGGGCACAGTGGCTTACACCTGTAATCCTAGGACTGTGGGAGGCCAAGGCAGGAGGATCGCTTGAGCCCAGGAGTCCAAGACCAGTCTGGGCAACAAGGTGAGACGCCATCTCTACAAAAAGTATTAAAATATTAGCTGGGTGTGGTGGCACACACCTGTGGTTCCAGCTACTCAAGAGTCTTAGGCAGGAGAGTCGGTTGAGCCTCAGAGGTGGAGACTTCAGTGAGCCATGATCTTGCCACAGCACTCCAGCCTGAGCAAGAGAGTGAGACCCTGTCTCAAAAAAGAGTATTTGCCATAGAGTTGTGTTGTTTGGGTTCAAATGTTGACTCTGCCTCTTTCTAGCTGTATCACCTTGAATAAGTTATTTAATCTCTCTGGGCCTTAAGCTGCCTGCCTTCCTGCTTCCCGGTTGTTGTTGCGACAGTCTCACTCTGTCACCCAGCCTGGAGTGCAGTGGTGCGATCACAGCTCACTGCCTCCCCTACCTCCTGGGCTCAACTGATCCTCCCATCTCAGCCTCCTGAGTAGCTGGGGATGCAGGTGCATGCCACTATGCCTGGCTAGTTTTTGTATTTTTGGTAGAGATGGGTTTTCGCCATGTTGCCCAGGCTGGTCTCAGACTGCTGGGCTCAAGCAGTCCTGCTCAGCCCCCCAAAGTGTTAGGATTAACAGGCGTTAGCCAGCATGCCTGGCTGACTTTCTTGTTTTAAAAAGGGATAAAATAGTACCTACTTTATAAGCTTGTTGGGATGATTAAATTATTTAACAAATGTAAAATGCTGAGAACACTGCTTGACACCTTCTCAATATATATTAGCTTTTCTTTTTCTTTTTTTTTTTCAAATCGAAGTAATACATGCACTTACTTTCAAAAGTCAAATATTACCAAAAGGAAGTTTATATTAGAAAAAAATCAGTCCCTCTGTTCCCCTCCACAAAGATACCTTTGAACTCTTTTAGCTATGTCTTTTATTTCTAATAATATGTCAATACTGCATACCTTTTCTATCCTACTTTTATATCCTGTTCATTTTGTTTTCCTATTATATTTTCTGTGATATTTCCCTGAGTTTTTATTATCCTTCCAGATAATTTACTTATGAATGAGCAAAATTAAATGCAAGCACCAACACCTTTTTCACTCTTCTTGACACTTAACAGCAGATTACAGAATACATCTGTTATACATCCTTTTTAGAGATGGGGATAAAAACAATGTTCTTGGAAAACAGTTGCTCAATCACTGTAGATACAGAATTTTGAAATTAAGCAAGATAGGAGTTGACAGAAGTTAAGCACTGCTTTAATTTGCTCTCAGCCTTCTTAACAAAGCATGCCCACATTCCTAAGGGGTGGCAGATTCTTTATCACCAGTTGCCCTTTGGTTTAGCCAGTTTCACCAACAGTGTTAATTACTATAGTTGAAGGCTGGCTAGACATTAGCTAGTAATGAATTTAAACAGAACATTTGTTTTTATGATATAAATGTCATAAAGACAAAATACTTCTTTAGTTGTATAACTGTAAAACTTGCATGTTTTCTATGAGGAAAAATATATAAAATCAGAATGAGAAGCCATTTGTGGATACTAAAATAAACACTTGTCACAGACTCACAGTAGAGAAACCTGTTATCTTACTTTTTTATGTAGCAAATTTATCTTGGTGAATTCTGCATATCAGGACATTAGAGATTTCCTGCATAGAACTCAAAAGTGTAGATATACCTTAATTTATAATTAGCCCCTATCGATGGGCATTCAAGTTGTTTCCAGCTTTTTGTAGTTACAATCATTGCTGCAATGTGTGACCACTTACATACATCGTTTCATATACATGTGTATTTCTGTATAGAATGTGCATTTATTATAATGTTGTAGGATTACAGGTGTGCGACACCATGCATGGCTAATTTTTGTATTTTCAGTAGAGATGGGGTTTCACCATGTTGGCCAGGCTCATCAGGAATTCCTGGCCTCAAGTGATTCACCGATCTCGGCCTCCCAAAGTGCTTTTTCATAGGTTATTGTTGTCATTTATTTTGATCCTTTCATTCACATTGGAAACTACTCAAGTGGTAATCTTAGGATTTCCTTTCATTAAAAAAAAAAAAAAAAAGGCAGATTTTAATAAGAGTGCTAAGACAATTTGATGGGGGAAAGAGTACTCTGTTCTTTCTTTTTTTTTTTTTTTGAGACAGAGTCTCGCTCTGTCGCCCAGGCTGGAGTGCAGTGGCGAAATCTTGGCTCACTGCAAGCTCCGCCTCCCGGTTCACGCTATTCTCCTGCCTCAGCCTCCCTAGTAGCTGGGACTACAGGCGCCCGCCACACCTGGCTAATTTTTTGTATTTTTAGTAGAGATGGGGTTTCACTGTGTTAGCCAGGATGGTCTTGATCTCCTGACCTCGTGATCTGTCCGCCTCGGCCTCCCAGAGTGCTGGGATTACAGGTGTGAGCCACTGCGCCTGGCCAGAATACCCTTTTCAATAAATGTTACAACTGTATATCCACATGCAGAAGAATGAAGTTAGAGGCCTATCTCACATCATATACAAAACTCTCACAATGGATGAAAAGATCCAAATGTAAAAGTTATAAGTCTAAAGCTCTTTTTTAAAAAAAGGCATAAATATCTATGACCTTGGATTTAGGCAATGATTTCTTAGAATATGACACAAATACCACAAGTGACAAAAGAAAAATAATAAATTGGACTCCATCAAAATTTAAAAATTTTGTACTCCAAAGGATACTACCATAAATTGAAAAGACAATCCACAAAATGGGAAGAAATATTTGTAAATGATATATCTGATAAGTAACTGGTATCCAGAATATATAAAGAACTCTTACACCTCAGCATGACAACCCAGTTTTAAAATGGGCAAAGGATTTTAATAGACATTTCTAAAAAGAAGATACACAAGTGGCCCATGTAAGCACGTGGAAAGATGTTTAACATCATTAGTAAGGGAAATGCAAATCAAAATCACAATATGATAGCATTTCACATCTTCTAGGATAGCTATAATAAAAAAGATGCACAAAAACAAGTGTTAGCAAGAATGTAAATTGTGACATCCGTTGCTAGTGAGAATATAAAATAGCACAACAGGCCAGGTGCAGAGTCTCATGCCTGTAATCCCAGCACTTTTGGAGATCCGAGGCAGGAGGATCGCGTGAACCCAGGAGCTCGAGACCAGCCTGGGCAACATGGCAAAACCCCATCTCTACAAAAATTAGCTGGACATGGTGGCACATGACTGTGGTCCCTCAGGAGGCTGAGGTGGGAGGATCACTTGAGCGCAGCACGCAGAGGTTGCAATGAGCCAAGATCACGTCACTGTACTCCAGCCTGGGCAACAGAGTGAGACCACGTCTCAAAAAATAAATAAATAAATAAATAAATATAAATAAAATGGTATAGCAGCTTTGGAGTATAGTCAGGAGGTTCCCTAAAAAGTCAGTGTACCGTATGACCCAGACTTACCATAAGACCCAACTACCTCATTTCCTCGGTATATATTTAAGAAAACTAAAAACGTGTCCACTGTAAAACTTGTATATGAATGTTAATAGCAGCATTGTTCATAATAGCCAAAAAGTGGGAATAACCCAAATGTCTCTCAGTTTATGATGAATGGATGCACAAAATGTGGCATATTCATACAGTGGATATTATTTGGCCATAAAAAGGAATAAAGTCCTGATATGCTAAACATAGATTAACTTTGAAAACATTGTGGTAATTGAAGTAAACCAGTCACAAAAAAACCACATATTGTATGATTCCATTTATATGAACTGTCCAGAATAAGCAAATCCACGGAAACAAAGTAGGTTAGTGGTTGCCAAGAGCTGGGTGGTGGGGGGTGTGGTGGGGGAATGAGGACTGTTTATGGGGACTTTTTTGGTGGGTGAGATGATGGAAATGTTCTGGAATTAGTGGTGATTACATAACTTGTGAATATACTAAAGCCACTAAATTATATGTTCTAAAAGGGTGAGTTTATGGTGTGTGAAAATTACACACTTTAAAAAGTTGACTTTATGGTATGGACTTAGTAGTGCCCTGCTTTTTTGGGGAGGTGTTAGTTGTTTTTAGTTCCCCCCATACCCCTTCTGTGAAGCCATCTAACTTTTACAGACAAAGCTAGTCTCTTACACCTTGTAAGTATAAGCGTGGTTGTTAGTGTTCTGAGAGCCTACATAGCAAAGCTTATTGTAGGGTAGCATGTCTGCTCAGTATACAAAATTTAAATGTATTCTTTCATTTTCAGCCTAGCCTTACCCATGCCCTTTTCTTTGCCTAAAATCATGAAATATACGGTCCTTCGCTCTGTAAAGTTCATTACATTCTCTATAGAGTTTATTCTTTATAGAATCATTTTCTCTGTAGAATTCCCTGTAGTTGGTGATGGTGGAGGAACAGAAATCTCCTGGCTGTCAGAGGTGTAGAATCAATGACCCAGTTGTCTGTTTTACTATAATTTAACTGTCTTCCCTGCTTTCCCCAGTATTTTGGTGCCTTTACTGCCTAGCTTCTTTCTGGGGTTCTCTTAAGACACGCCAGTTTCTCGTTTCTGTATCCGTCTGCAAATACTTAGTTCTTGGCTTCTTCCTGTTGTATGAGTTGCCTTGCCTCTGATTTCTCTTTTCCAGAAATGCTTTGGCAACTCTAAACTGCTGTTTTCTCTTCTCCTGTTTTCTTTGCTGGTATTTACTTTTTAAATTCCTTACGTAAATACCCTGCAAAAACAACTCAAATGTCCCACCAGAAACTCAGGAATTAAAGTATATGATGAAGCCGGGCATGGTGGCTCACTCCTGTAATCCCAACACTTTGGGAGGCTGAGGCAGGCAGATCACTTGAGGCCAGGAGTTCAAGGCCAGTCTGGTAAAAGACACGGTGAAACCCCGTGTCTACTAAAAATACAAAAGTTAGCTAGGCATGTTGGTGCGTGCATGTAGTCCAAGCTACTTGGGTGACTGAGGCACAAGAATCACTTGCACCCTGGAGAACTGAGATCGCACAACTGCACTCTAGCCTGGGCGACAGAGCAAGACTATAAAAATATATATATATATATACACACACACACACACACACACATATATATATATATATTCATACCATGGAATGCAAGGGTTTAAAACAATGAAATGGAACTTTATGTCCTGACATCAAAAGCTTTTTTTATATGAACATGATTGAAAAAGAGTAAGTATAATTTCAATCTGGTATTTTAAAACAGTACATTTCTAGATACATATTAAAAGTATGGAATCAGCTTCACAAAGTGAATCTGTAGATTCAGGCCTTTTTACTTCCAACATTTCACATTTTGCATTTTTATTATTTTTATTGTAAACATGTTTTAAATGTATGTTAGTTTGCAGAGATAATATAAGTAAAACTCAAATTGTATAACTGAGTTTTTCAGACAATTTATTAATCTTGGGCAAAAACAAGTATTAACCATTTGGAATACATATGTTTATATATTATGATATGTAATACTAAGCATAATTAAAACTTTGCAACTTTGCTGTCATCGTTTTGATTATCAGATTGGTGCCTTTTTATACAAGAATTATTTCTTGTTTTTCCTCTCTTCCAATTTGTTTGGCTTAGAAACAAAATAATAGAAAAATTATAGTAGTAATAGCAGCTAATAGCACTTATTGAACACTAACTACATACCAAGCACTGTGCTGAAGTGCTTTAGATGTTTTGTTGTCAACTTATTTATTTATTGTTGTTGTTGTTTTGAGACGGAGTCTTGATCTTATTGCCCAGGCTGGAGTACAGTGGCACCATCTTGGCTCACTGAAACCTCCACCTCCCGGGTTCAAGCGAGTCTCCTGCCTCAGCCTCTGAAGCAGCTGGGATTACAGGCATGCGCCACCACGCCTGGCTCAGTTTTGTATTTTTAGTAGAGACGGGGTTTCACCATGTTGGTCAGGCTGGACTAGAACTCGTGACGTTAGGTGATCCACTCACCCTGGCCTCCCAAAATGCTAGGATTACAGGCGTGAGCCACTGCGCCTGGCCATCAATTTAATTTTCAAAATAGTTCACTGAGGCCTAAATACTACTATACCAATTTTACAGACAAACTGAGGCAGAGATATTAAACCACTTGCCCAAGGGTTTGCGGTTTTATTTTTTTATTTTTTTGAGATGGAGTCTTGCTCTGTTGCCCAGGCTGGAATACAGTGGCGTGATCTCCACCTCCTGGGTTCAAGAGATTCTCATCCCTCAGACTCCCGAGTCGCTGGGACTACAGGTGCCTGGCACCACGCTGGGCTAATGTTTTATTTTTAGTAGAGATAGGGTTTCACCATGTTGGCCAGGCTGATTTTGAACTCATCATCTCTCAGGTGACCTGTCTGCCTCAGCCTCCCAAAGTGCTGGAATTACAGGCATAAGCCACTGTGCCCGCCCCCAAAGTTTTGTTTGTTTGTTTTTTTACATAAAACGTGCTGTCATTAGAATTTGACATCAGACCTACAGTTAGCCTGTTTTTAACAATTTAGCCATGTTGCTTCTTGCATATCCAGACTTAAGATGTGTGTGTGATTAAGTTGAGAAACAGATTCTCAGACAGGTATAGAAGTCTTTCTGATTACTGTTTCTAGCTGCCCAGGGGCCTTTTTTTGGTTGGTTAATATTATAGTGATTTGGTTACATTCTGGTAAAACCAGGTATCTCAGTACTTTAGATATGAAAAATGAGTTACTTCTGTTGTATTTGTTTATCTCCTAGAGGTCTGAAGGGTTTGAACTAAATACAGTGTTTACAGAAGCCCTCTTAACCTATAGGACATAAGTTTTCATGGGATTGGCTCAAAATAAATGAAACGCTGTGGATGTATAATTTTCTGGAGAATACCCAGAGTTTTTCTAGGATTTTCACAGAAGTCTGTTACTCATCAAAGGCCAAGACCATGAATTACCTCATGCTTATTTTTCTTTTGGTCAGAGAGCTAGCCCTGAATGTTTTACTTATTATTTTATAGGAATCATTTCATGTGTCTATCTTCAGCCATTTAAGCTATACTTCAAAAGCACAATGAAAATAATGATGTGTACTTAGTGATGAAATATACACAAGATGAACAAAGACTACAAAGGGATTTCTTGTGGTAATAAAATTAGAGAAATGCACTAGTGCATCTCCAATGTCCTTTCCAGCTTCCAAATGTTATCATTGTTATCCCTATTTGGAAAAGTAGGCATTTTCCCACAGTAAAATTTTGCAGAATTGAGTTTTGAAGTATCATTAATAATCCAAGAACCAGATAGAAAAGTTAAGGGTTACTGCAAGTGCTACCAATTAGTACTCAGATGTTCGTAATTTCAAGCAGTTCCTTTATCAAATTCAAATGTGTTAATTTCTGATATGATTTAGAAAAACGATTTCTGATATCTTTACAAGTGATTGGATTTGTACTAAAAACTCTTTTTTGTTATATATGTTTAAAGAAAAAATTTTTAAATTCTTCAATAGGGAAGTTTGGTTGGCTTAGTGGATTATCCAGATGATGAAGAGGAAGATGAAGAAGAAGAAACATCCCCCAGGAAAAGACCTCGTCTTGGCTCATAAAATATTTATTAGGAGACCCTCAACATGTGGTCTTAAAATGCTGCAACTGTTCAATGAGCTGTAAATCCGAATCAGAAAGCTTTCTCAATTGAACTTAGAAAATATACAAGGAGTAGCAAAAGACACTCAATATATCAGCTAAGGGAGTTTAGTTCTAATAAAAAAACAGGCTTCCCAGGAACTTCATTGCTTGCTAGTAATTAAGGGGTTTGCCTTTTAGGCTGTCAAAACAAACGTTAGTAACCAGAACCTGGGAGACAGATTCTCAGCAAGGAAAAGTCACAGGTTTTGGGATGGTTTAGGGGAGGGGAAAAGGTTGATATAATAATGCAGGGTTGCTCCTCGGGGTATTGATCTAAAAACAATTTTATAGAACTTCAGTTGTAAACTCAATAACATTACTTGTATAATGGTGCTGGCCATGTTGTTGTTTTAATCAGTTGCCTCTTTTTAAAAGAAATTTTTATGGAAAACACATTCAACTGTCATTAAAAAAATGAAGTTAAGCTGTTGGGACCATTTATTTAAGATTTAACAAAAGTTCAGCCTTTTAGGTAGTTGAAGGGAAGTACACCCCATATTCAGCACATGTTGAATTTTCTACACCAGGAATTTTCAATATGTATATTGATGAAAACAAGCTCAATTCAAACTGGACAGTTTTAAGCTAATGTTAAAATCAGCACTTTTAGAGACAATGAAGGCCAAGAATCAGTACAGTAGTATTCCAAAATGATTTTCTCTAGAAATTTGAAAGTGGATAGAACAGAATGTTTTCAACCACCTACCAGTACAATCTTTTGTGGAAGATACTTTGAAATCACTTTTTGCTTTGTTAGTAAAGTTTTCTCTCTTTCCAGAGCTGCAAGTTTTAAAGTGTTACTTATACAGACCAACAAAGAATAGTGCTGAATTAAGTGGCATTTGGTATCTAGAAGCCATTTTGATCCAAGAAGCGACTTGTGAAAGTCAGCATGCAGCACATGTAGCTTTTCTGTAAACAAGGGTGTGATATGAAAGCTGCTTTTTTAAGAAGAGTAAAAGCACATTCCATGTACGTAAGTGAATTTTAAAATTAAATTGAGGCAAACAGTTACGTTTTATTTTTAGAGCAACAAGTTAACTGTACATATTTTAATGTTAGTTTGCTCATCTATGATCTGAGATCATGCCGAAGTGAGAAAAATGTCCCCAAAATACAATTTAATGCATTGGGAAAAAAAAATTTTTAATAGTAATTCCAGCCACAATCTTTAGATCACCCTTGTAATGTGTTATGGGTCCATTTTTCCTGGAATAGTTTAATCTGAAGCAGTTTCCCCTGTTTTGGAGATTTTGTAGTTAATTTTAATTTTGGCTATTGTTTGGAAAAGATGAGCTGTCTGTGTAGATATGAAGTATAGTTTTTCCATAAAACAGATGTTTATTTTGTATTAAAAATACCACTGTACTTGTTTTACACCATTTGTATACATGTGGTGATATTAATGCTAAACTGTAAAATTCAGGAATTAAAATGTGACCCTGTAATTCCATAATTGATGTTTGTGTTTGGTTTGTTGTAAATATAAATTAACTCCATTTTGAGATATGTCAATTTTACAGTATCTTTTAAAAGGCAATAAAATTATACATAAATATTTATTATAAACTGCTAGGTCATACCCCAGTTTTAATGAAATAATTCTAAACAAATGCGGGTCAACGGCACTTTATCACTGACTACTTATAGAAGGTAAGCCTTGGGGAAATCAAAGCATCATGGTATGGAGCTTTTCTCACCTCTTCAGTTAAAGGTGTACATATAATAAGAAAGAAAGACCTTCCACCTCATAAGGCAGGTGACTCAGGATATTTTAAACCAAGATCAGTAAAGTTCCCATCCACTTTCTTTGAATCAGCAAGTTTTATCCAGACCCATCTCTCAGCTTTTATTAAATTTCTTCTTATAATAAGCCCACATGTAAAACAGTTTCCTAGTTACTTTTTGTTTGTTTGTTTGTTTGTTTGAATCTCGCTCTGTTGCCCAGGCTGGAGTGCAGTGGCGCAATCTCAGCCCACTGCAACCTCCACCTTTGGGTTCTATTGATTCTCCTGCCTCAGCCTCCTGAGTAGCTGGGAGTACAGGCACCCATTACCACACCCAGCTAATTTTTAGTAGAGACAGGGTTTCGCTATGTTGGCCAGGCTGGTCTTGAACTCCTGACCTCAAGTGATCCGCCTGCTTCGGCCTCCAAAAGTGCTGGGATTACAGGTGTGAGCCACCGTGTCCAGCCCTCCTCATTACTCTTGACTCCTCTTAAGTAACTTTAAGTCCTAGTAGGAAGTACTATTTTTCTTTTTTTCTTTTTTTTTTTTGAGATGTAGTCTCGCTCCATCGCCCAGGCTGGAGTGCAGTGGCACAATTTCAGCTCATTGCAACCTCTGCCACCTGGGTTCAAGCAATTCTCTGCCTCAGCCTCCCGAGTAGCTGGGATTACAGGTGCCCATCACCATGCCAGGCTAATTTTTGTATTTTCAGTAGAGACGGGGTTTCACCATCTTGGCCAGGCTGGTCTTGAACTCCTGACCTTGCGATCCACCCGCCTCAGCCTCCCTGTCTCTGTATCTTATGAAGACTTCCTTTTTCTTTCTGAAGAGCTGCCATAAGTCTTAAACATTTACATCATCATCTGAACCTTTTCTTGTAGCAGAAATGTGAATGTTTTCCTGAAGTACAGGTTACAGTTTTCATGGTACAAGTGCTTACCTACGACGATAAGAGAATAAGGCTTAAAATATCCCTTAAAAGAACAATTGTGAGAATTCCACATTAGCAGCTGTCTTTAAATGACTACCCTCAGACAGATCTGGATTTTTGTATCTTTATCTTTACTCAGTGAAGCAAGCCAAGAGCCCACATTTGTATGCCTTAGGTCCTCTTAAAATGGTATCTGTAAACATGTATCCAATATAAAAACTATTTTTAATAAAAAGTTACATGAAACAGATTTCTGTGTTTTAATCACTAGCATTTCCTCTTATCCATCTAGTGATGAAAATACAACAAACGTAAATACTGGTTTTTCTGCAGGTTGAAGGTTGGAATTGTGTAACTGAAACTGAGTAATTCTTGTTACACTAATTTTGGTATCCTTTTTTAAAAGCTTATAATCGTAGACTTAAGGAGATAAAATGTGATTATAAGTTAAATCTCAGGAGTATCCTGTACTTAGAAAAGGGTGGACATGGGATATTACAAGATTGGAAATTTTTTTTTTTGGAGATGGGAGTCTTGCTCTGTTGTTGCCCAGGCTGGAGTGCAGTGGCGTGATCTCACTGCAACTTCCACCTCCCAGGTTCAAGCGAGTCTCCTGCCTCAGCCTCCAGAGTAGCTGGCACATTACAGGCATGCACCACCACGCCCAGCTAATTTTTGTATTTTAGTAGAGATGGGGTTTCACCATGTTGGTCAGGCTGGTCTTGAACTCCTGATCTCAAGTGATCCGCCCCCGCTCGGCCTCCCAAAATGTTGGGATTACAGGCATGAGCCACTGTGCCTGGCCTTTTTTTTTTTTTTTTTTTTGATATGGAGTCTTGCTCTGTCAGCCAGGCTGGAGTGCAGTGGTGTGAGCTCCAGTTCAACGCAACCTCCGCCTCCCGGGTTCAAGCGATTCTCCTGCCGCAGCCTTCCAAGTAGCTGGGATTACAGGTGCCCGCCACCATGCCTGCTAATTTTTGTGTTTTTAGTAGAGTCGGAGTTTCACCATGTTGGCCAGGCTGGTCTCCTAACCTCAAGTGATCCTCCTGCGTTGGCCTCCCAAAGTGCTGGGATTACAGGCATGAGCCACCACACCCGGCCTGGAAGTTTCTGAAAGAAAGGTCTCCTATTATTGTGTTTATCTTTAAATAGACTACAGAAAACTATCCTAGGGTCACTTCTCTTAAACACCAACATTCAATGGTGGCATCTTCTTCAACAGGCTCAATCAATTATTCCCTTTGCCTGTGTTTTAGTAATAGTTTGTCTAGAAAGAGTAATTATTTTTTACATCCTGCACATCTATTTTCCAAGTCCTATTTGCTCCTGCCTTATATAGGTGTAAATGATAAATGTAAAATCTACCTTACCATTGCCCAGGGTATCTATACCCTTGATTGGACTGTCTCATACATGGTACACCCACAACTACTTTACCTCATGCACTAGTTGCCATATAGTAATAAAAATGAAAATTGTGATCATGTAACTTCCATGCTTTATTTATTTTTATTTATTTATTTTTTGAGACAGGGTCTCACTGTGTCATCCAGGCTGGAGTGGAGTGCTGTGATCATAGCTCACTGCAGCCTTGACCTCCAGGGCTCTGGTGATCCTACCACCTCAGCCTCCCAGGTAACTGGGACTACAGGTGTGTGCCACCATGCCTAGCTAATTTTTTTGTATTTTTAGTAGAGATGGAGTTTTGCCATGTTGCCCAGGCTGGTCTCAAACTCCTGGGTTCAAGCAGTCTGTCCACCTCGGCCTCCCAAAGTGCTGGGATTACAGTGTCAGCCACCATGCCCAGCCCTTGCATTAAAATTTTTCAATGACTTGACACTGCTGGTATTACAAAATTTAAAATCCAGAGCTGGGATTGTGCTACCTCCAGCCTGGGCAGCAAAGCAAGATCCTGTCTCTAAAAAAAAAAAAAAAAAAATTAAATCCTCACATTCCCTACAAGACTGCACTATCAGTACCCCACCTGTCTCCAATTTCATATGCTAACCCTCTCCACTCATATGTATATTCCAAGTTTTCAGTATATGCTTTATTTCCTGCTGCAGAACCTGAGTTGTTCCTTACCTATTCTTTGTGTAATTAACCTTCCATTCAGCTTAAAGAGGCTTAGCCAGCCCTGCTCATAGGACTTTACACTTTGCCTTTCTAACAGTTTGGTCTTTGGGCCTTCTCCACTAGCCCCATGAAGGCAATGACCCTGTCAGTCTCGTGGACTACTGTATCCCTAGCGCTTAGCACAATGCCTGGCACAAACAGTAGGTAACCGAGTTTGAATGAATGAACATACTATCAACTGGTTTCTTTCTATACCCTCTTTCCAAGGGAAAACATTCAGGAATTTGTATTAAACTAATCAGTATGAGTAGCTGCCTTCCCTACTGTCCTTTACCTAAAGTGTTTAATAAGATATTTGGATTTACAAAAGTGTTTGAAACTAAAAACCTCGGTGGAAGGACTAAATAATTTATTTTTAAGACAATTTGAACTTCCATTTTGTTAAATTGTTCTTAATTATTACTTATTAATAACTTCTTCTTTGAGTTTCTCTGCAAGCAGTCTCCTCTTTAGTAATGTTTGCTTCTCCTCTGCTGTCATTTCTGCTTTCTCTGTCATTTCCTGAAAAAAAGAAAAAAAATTGGCTACAGTATGAAATACGATCATTTGTCTAAAATTCCCAACATACTGCCTCAAATGAACAAAAATCAGGGGCACTTTCTTGTGGGGTGGAGGGAGAGACAGACATAGACTAGGTTTCCTAAATCTATTCTTCATAAAGTCTCTTCTTGGAGAAGCCCTCTTGGAAGTGGGGGCTGGGGTACTAATGCTGCTCTATGATAAAACATTGCAGAATGCTCAGGTGAAACAGACCACAAAGAAGAGCAAGTAAAGAAACAGCATAAGAAAAAAATGTATAATGACACCGCTCTTATTTTCTGCCTCAAAAAATCCTTATCACAACAATTTCACTTCCTAGAAAAGACTTAGCAGCTACTGCACTAGGAGGTAGTTAATAGGAATGGGTCTGCAAGCAAAATTTACTAGAGGCTTTCTTGCACATATTCTGATTTTGAGAGTTCCACTACCAATTTGTAAATCTTGACATATTAAGGCTAGCCATACCTCTACCTCCCCAGTGGGTTTTCCTTTCTGCTCCGTATTTTGTATCTGCTTAGTCCTCATATCCTTTCTCATGGACATCAACTTATCTCTCTTCTGCTTGAGATAGTGTTCTCGTTGCCGAAGTTCTTCTGTTCCAAGTACTGATAAACTCTGGGTCAAGTAAGAAAAGGAGCTATCTAAATTCAAGTCCATTTATTAAGTAGCACAGATGCCCACTGACTGATTCAATTCGAAGTTTGATTTCCTTGTCATTTTGCTTATAGTTCTTAAAAGTGATGTCTTTTACTTACTGCTATTGGTCCTTCAATGCTCGCATGCTCTAAGCCAGGAATCTTCAGGCCTTTTTGTGGCAGGGAGGAAGTTTCAGACCTTTCCACTTTTCTTCCCAAAGGTTCTATTGACTGATTAGCAAAATGCACTTTAACTTCTGGCAATAAGTAGACAATAAGACCAATTAGAATATTATGAGAAATATTAAGTATTAGGCTAGGCTTACCAAAATGAGCTAATGTTAATAATACTTGTTTTTCCTCATATTCAGTCAACATATATTCAATGCCTATATTGTGCCAGCCACTGGGTAAGAACAGTAAACATCACATCTCTACCCTTAAGGAGGCTGGAACTATAGTTTCTCACCTACATCTCAACAAGTAC